CACACACACACACACACACACACACACACACACACACACACACACACACACACGCGCGCGCACTCACACACACACACACACACACACACACACACACACACACACACACACACACGGTTTCCATGCGCTAGGCACTTTTTAAGCAAGCATAAGCTTTGGAGCTTAGGTGATTTAATGACACTTTTTACTGCAATCATTTTGAAATTATAAGAGTCGACAATTGGGCAGCCACAGTTAGGAGTACACACACACAAACACCCCCCCCCCACACACACACACACACACACACACAAAAAACTTTCTGAAAAACATTGGGGATGTGTGGTGCATCAGCCAAGAAAGAAACCACTCCTTGTTGTCAAGGATCCGTACCGCGTAACCTGCTAAATCCTGTCTGACAATTCACCCTTGTGTTTGTTGACTCCAGTGATTGTAGGAGACAAATGGGCGGGTCTTCATGCAAGAAAAAAAGGCAGACCTTGTTCACAGCACATGGCTGGACTTTTTATCACAACAGAAGCTATTACTATTGAAATGAAATGTATTTCTATTCATTCAACCCAGGTGCGTCAATTTGGGCAACGCACACCGTACCAGAACCCTGTCCATTTGTTTTGCACCAGCCTGTCTGTTTACCATCAGTGAAAGCTGCAGGAGCTGAAGGCAGATTAGGTGTGGAGAGGTTAATCAATGGAACCCCGGGGTTCCACTGACATTTCACTGGCAGCAGTAGGCGGCTTCCATCTATCATTTGCTTTCATCCCTCACTTTCTCCACCTCTCTTTTGCTCATTTTCTGACTGTCAAACTGAATTCATTCACACCCTAAAATAGCTCATTTATGTTTGCAGTCCCGTCATTAGTAGAACACGTGCAGGTTTTGGTCTCGGCAACTTCTGCTGTGGCAATTGGTGGTCCTTATCTCAGTATTTACGAGAACAGATTGATATTCCTGCCGGTCCCCTGCACCAAAGCCAGCTCACCACCAGAAGCCGGGGAAAAGTCAGTGAGGATGGCCTGTGTCCAAAACGCCTAACCTGTCACAGACCTGCACCCTCCAGGCAGGCAAATGTGTGTTCTTGCCTATGACGAAGACAAGAGGGTGAAGGGGAGGGGTGAGGGGAAGCACACATAAAAATACATGTGTATACACACACACACACACACACACACGCACACACACACACACACACACACACACACACACACACACACACACACACACACACACACACACACACAGCCTTGAGTGCTCCAAAAGCCTGGTGACTCACCCTACTTAAAGCAAACCCTGAAATAGACATTTTGCACCTCGCCACACTGACTCTTTTCTTCATGGCCTGCTCATGTTCTGGCTTATAAATGCATATTCTACCACTATACGTTACATTCCCTATTCTAGACCCAATTTTTGCGCCAGCCTCAATGTTCTGCCTATTTGACTTTTTCTACATTGCACCATTACTAACACAGCCTGTTAGCATATTACCTGGAATATATAACTCATTTCCCCTTGTTACAGTGTGTGTTTTAGCTATTTTCTAATAATAAATAGAGGAGAAAAAAACCTGGAGCCATTTGGTATAGACCAACTACTCCAGGCTGGGAAGAGAAGCATGAAGTTGTCTAATCTGATGTGATCATACCACAGAACATACAGTGGCACCTCCAATTTTGAACAGCCTCGAGCTAAAAAAAATTCCAGAAAACGACTGGGGGAAGAAAATGCACAAAATGAGAGGGCAAAACTAACAAACTCTGAGTGATATCAGCGTTTCATGAGACTTTCGCAAAAGTTTGAAATCATGTGCAATAAGTGGACTACAATTCAAAACGGAAAAGTTTAAGTAGGGCTCAATTATACAATACAATACAATACATGCTGATTTATATAGCGCTTTCACAACAGCGGCAGCTGTAACAAAGCGCTTAACAAAACAGTTAACAAAAAGTAAAATAATAAACACAACACATAACATAAAACACGGACAGTCGTGCAGTCCTAACCACTTTTCCGGGACACGCTTTGTTGTTTGAAGCAGTTTGAGATGAAAGAGGAGAGAATCAAAGTGTCCTTTCACCAGTGGATCTGAGACGTCATGCTCAAAATGTGCACACGTTGGCTACAAGCTAAGTTTCAAATTATGGAAAATAACAATGATCATAATTATTTTGATTGAGATTGAAATCATTACGATTAAAATAATTATGCATTGATTTCACTTTAGTATTTATTGTACTTATAAAGCTCAACCACTCCAAACTATCATCCGAGCCTCATTCCCATTCACCCCTGCACGTTGAACACTTTATTCTTGAAGACTCTATTCTTTTCGTCAAGTACAAAATGGCCTTGTAAATTTGACATGAAATTCAAGCCTCGTGCATTTTCATCCTGCTTAATCCACACCCTTGATGCATTGCATCTGTCCATAAATTGAAGCTTTGAAGAAGCATTACTGTTATCTTTTGTGCCTTTAAGTACTGTTACCTTACCTGTTTGTATGTGTTCCCGTCGTGTTTGTGTGTGAACATTCGTGATTTGAAGGACTATCACTCCGAAAGTCGATGCTAATTTCCTGTTCGCATTTGAAGGGGATCCTCCATTGACTTTAGCATTAGCGCTTTGTGATGTTTTAAAAATAAAGCATGTTTTGCATTAAATACAGAATACGTATAATTCTTTTTGTTGTGTGTTTCTAGTTTTGCGGTAAACTCCAACTGGGGTGTCATTAAACAGCGTAAAGCACGCTCAGGGATGGCAGAATCACATATGCGACACGGTTGCTATTCATGTAACATGGTGCATTCGGGGCACTTTCACAACATTAGGAACTTTTAATCGTTTTACTTTTGTTCTAACGTTTTAAAGTTTGACAGGAGTCAAATTGAAAATTACAATACTTTATAAATTTGGAATTATCATCCAGCCCTACATTTTTGGGGCTGAATTGTAAATCTGCACTGTCATGTAAATGAAAATGGGTCTTCTACCTTTAACACACTCAATGTGCTTTAGTACTGTTTCCTTATTTACACACTAATGACGGCATCAAGAGTAATTTGAGGTTCAGGATCTTGATCGAGGACTCTTTAACATGATGAGGGGGAGTGGCAATGGAACCTGCATCATTCAGTCGAACTGGCATCATTTAGGTTGAGGAAACCACCACCTAACCAATGCTTTATGACTTGTTAAAACCCTGCCAGCCCAGTCAAATCTGGATCTGAGTGGAGCATAGTCATGTTCCTTATGTGTGAAAACAATAGAGGTGGTCTGAGAAACCAAAAAAACGTTCCAGCAACGTGTCTCTTAGTCAGTTAGCTGTCATGGCGGCACCACTGAGATTCTCTGGCAGGAATTAAAGCTGCTAAAGAAAATCTTTAAAAGCTGGAGTGGAGATTGAGTGTTTTGTCATAATTAGGATTCCTCTCCAGGAATTAGTGAAATTGCCAAACTGACTTGGCTTCACAAAATCCAGAGAGAGAGTTTCGGAAATAATACCGGATTTGACTCACAATTCTGCTGCGTCATATTTTCATTTACACTTCAAACACACATCACCCAGAAACATCAGTCTTATGCATAAAGTTGCAGATGGAGCTTTATGGAGAGTTTATACTTCCAACACCTCCCAGCCATTTCCAATAGGGATAAAAAAGCACATTGATTTGCAACAGCTGAGGCCAGAGTTCCAAGCCACATGAAAGACAATCTTAAATCCTAGAGGGCCATGACAGGAGGGTGTGTCAAAAACAACACACACATTTAGGTTCTATTCAGTGTTGCCTGTAGCATGCAGCTGTCCCTCTTCTTGGCATGAGCCAAATATCAAATGACAGAAGTGTCTGTGTCGGCTGCACAAGGAGAGCATGTTAGTGACAGGGTTTTTTTTTTCTTCCCCTCATTGCATTTGATTTAAAACATGATGGAGGATGGTTGCTAGGAGATGGTAGATGGGTCAGCGATAAGCCTAAAATTCTCAGTTCAAAGCTTAAACAGTGACTGAATTCAAGATCATTGAAAATGTGAATATTGACTTGTTCAATACAATGGAATACAATACATCTATTTATACAGCACTGTCACAACAGCTGCAGCTGTAACAAAGCGCTGTTCACATAAAATAACATGAATACAACAGAAAACATAACATAAAAATAGTTGATCTCCGTTAAAAGTAGCCTGATAAATT